GAGATATTATTTAATTGTCGAAGCTAAAGTGGAGTAGAGTTCAAACTGGCGACTCAGTGGTTAAGAACAGAACGCTTCTAACCAGATCCATTACTTAGGCGAAAGATTGACGTTACGGTCATGTTACCACAGGGAAGTTTTACAATATTATCTCACTGAATTCCGACTGAGCCTTTATATCACGGATCAGAATCAAGATATTTTAGTCTACTTTAACTGTTAAAAATTATGAAGCAGTGGATTGTAATGGTGTTTCCGATGATGATATTAAGAAACTGATAGTAAACAAAGGATTTAGGACTACATAACTACTAATTTTAAAGTATTCGATTGCACAAGGATAGTTCTCATTAAAAAGGAATCTGAATTGTTAAGATCTAAAATGTAATTCAGTGATTAACATACATTCGAATGCCTGAGATGGAATACGCCCAGCTGAATTTGTTAAAAGTTATCTATTAGCAGAAATAAGATAATTTATTAATGCAATCTGAGACCAATCTCCAAAAACGTCGCACGTGGACGTGACTTTGGCTAACTAGTTTGATCTCAAGGCATCCAAGGCCTTTAGCTACGAGTATGTCTCTGATGAAAATTAGATTCGTTAAAAGAATGTGTCAGAAAATCTAACATGCTACAATAACTAATGCAAGAATAACTCAGAAATTCTAAACAGAAGTACCAAGACCGAACAGTTAATTGCGGATCTCGGCTGAAACGATTTATTCGAGCATAACGAATCGGTCATAAATTTGCGGGGGCAAACATTACTTACTTACTAACACCTGTCAACCCTCGTGGAGAAGCACAAGCCATCCGTCAGCATTCTTCATCCAACTTTGTACTGGAGAATCCTTTCCAGTTGCTATACATCTTATTCATGACTGCTTCCAATTCTCGGCGCAGTGTTATTTGGTCTTCCATCTTTACGTTTCCCTTTAGCATTAAAAGTTAGAGCTTGATGCAGTTTGATTATTTCCTCAATGTGCGTCCTATACACTTTCAACATTTTTCTCTTAATTTCCTCTTGCACCTTTACTTTTTGAAGATAGTTGTAGTAGTTCTCCACGTTTCAGCTCCGTACATTAGAACTGTCTTGACGTTCGTATTGAAGGTTCTCACTTTGATATTGCTAGACAGTTGTTTTGAGTTTCGTATGTTCTTCAATCATAGGAATGAGGCCCTTGCTTTGCCGATCTGTGCCTTCACATTTGCATCAGATCCTCCTCGTCCAACGGTGATGATGACCAGGTGCGTGAGTTTCCACATCTTACAGAGTTTCTCCATCAATTGTGATTGTGTTGGTGTTCTCAATGTTGTATTTGAGGATCTTGCTTTTTCCCTTGTGTATGCTGAGGCCTACTGATGTAGAGGCTGCTGCTAAACTAGTTGTCTCCACCTGCATTTGTTGATGCGTATGGAATAGAAGGGCCAGATCATGTGTGAAGTTCGAACCGTTTACCTGCATCAAACCTATCCATTGTATTTCGCGCTTCCCCTCACATATCGAGGTCTTCACAATCCAGTCAACTACCAGAAGAAAGAGAAAAGGGAGAGTAATTCGACTTGTCTCACTTTGGTCCTCACCTTGAATGCATCCGTCAGCTGTCCTCCATGCACGACTTTGCAGCTTAGTCCGTCGTATGAATTCTGGATGTTGACGATTTTATTAGGTACTCCATAATGTTCTCCTATCCTCACTGTCAAACGCTTACTCGTAATCAAGGAAGTCGATGTATAGTGAAAAAATTCCACCCAACTAAATGTTCAACGATGATCCTTAGTGTAGCGATTTAGTCTGTGCACGACCGATCCCTATGGAATCAAGCTCGTTGATACCCGAATTGGGCGTCTACTGTTTCTTTCATCCGATTCAGCAACGCTCTGTTGAAAACGTTTCCTGGTAACGACAGTAGTGCGACGCCCCTGTAGTTCTCACATTTGCCCTAATCACGTTTCTTTGATATCATGTTGAAGTGTCCTTCTTTCCAGTACGTCCTCACTTCTTCATACTCCTAAATCTTCCTGAATAGCGTGAAACACGATCGCAGTTACTTGTATGTCTGACTTTGGTGCTTCGGCTGGTATATTATCAGGTCCTGCTGATTTCCCACTCTTGATGGCCATCCTGATTTCTTCGGTCGTTGGTGGAGTGACATGTATAGCAAGGTCCGTAGGTGGTGCTTCGATATATGATGGATGCAGTGAATCTGGTCTATCTGACAATTCCTCAAAGTGTTCTAAGCATGTTCCTCCGTTCTTGAATCTGTGATTGGCTTGCCTTCTTTGTCCATGACGGGTCGATCTGGTTTACTATATTTTCCTGCCAGTTTCTTTGTTGTCATATAGTTGTTTCATGTTCCCTAGACTTGCAACTTTTTCCGCTGTCGTTGCTGCAGCCATGTCAGTCATTTGTTTAGTTTATTTTCCTCAAATGTATTAGGATGACCCTAGGAGATTAAAGTACCTCGAAACAGAGCTAGTTATAAACTATTTTAGGGAAAACTGAAATTAATATATTTCACCAAATATGTCGATTCACATCGAAAGCACGTCACTCATACTCTACCCTAACTATTACTAGCTACTTAAATGACAAATCTTTGAGCAAGCACGCTATTAAATGACAGCAGGATAAACTGAATACTAGTAAACATTTTAACGATATATAATATTCTATTTCCAGGTAGATGAAAAAGAAGTTCTCTCTCTCACAAGTCTCTTATCTCAGTCTGGTGGTTTATTCTCTATTTGGATTGGACTTAACATGATGTCAGTTATAGAAGTGGTAGAACTGATTTTTCATCTTATTACAAAATGTAGACAATTTTCAAAGCGAAAACGACTTCGCCGAACTCAAAAAAAGCAGACTACATGCGACACACTGAAACCACTAACCAATGCAAATAGTGAGACAGAAATGGTACAGGATCAGATAACAAACCGAGGAATCGGAAAACAAACTGAGAAGTATAGAAAAGATGACATGACCATAAACAATGGTCCAATACAAATACACACCAGAAAACGATCTCCAAGCGCCCCCAATCAGATGGTATCTGGAAATATATCATTATATTTACCACAAATTTGACACTCACAACTGTTCACGATCAATCTAAACCTGTGTTGATTTTTTAAAATTCTAATATAACATTTCATCCAGTTTGAAAATGCTTGTAGTTGTATATATTATTCGTCTGACCTAAACAGCGAAAGAATTATCAGCGTTAAGGTTAAAAGATACGTTTCTAAGATTGCGACAAGAATCATTTTGTAGGGACATAAGCAGTCAAGGGGGAAAAGCGGAAGCCAAAGTATCCGGTAATGTGCACTTTCAGAGACTAATAACCAAGTCAGAACATGTTAAACAAGTAACGATAATTTTAATAGCTGGATTCGTGAATCGATCTAAGTGCTTCCAGGTTTTCAATGGTGGTCCAGCTTAGATAGACTCATGAATTCAACTATTAGAATTACAATAATCTCCACAAATCCCACTTTCCGAAAACAACAATAGGTAATTATTAAATAGAAATTTTTAAATATTATTGCGTGAAACTATATGCACATGCATGTATATCCTTAAACTAATAAGACCAATGTGGGAATTGTGTACCAGCCCTATGATGTTACATAATATACCACCAAAGCAAATGGAGACCGACCACAGTAAATAATGAAATACATTGTAAGCCAAAACCGATAGTGGTTTGGTAATAGCTTCACTGATACCAAAAGTGAATTGTACAAACCAACTATTAATATTTTCATGAACAAACATTACATCTAGTCAGTTCATATCAACTTTCTACAGCACTAACAATCACTCTAGGGATTGGTAAATGATTAGTTTAGATAGCTTCAATATCTATGAAACACGATTTACAATATCGGACAATGAATAAGATTTAGAAAGCTATACAAATCCGCAACAGATTTATAAATTGTCTACCCACAAATCGACTTTAAATTATTTGAACCCCTTGGTTGATAATTTGACACAAAATTAGCATGGTTTGGTCGGTTTCCCATGCGGATTGGCCCTATATAACCACCATGTGGGTAATGAGATGACTTTTGAAGCGAACGGCACTGAATTCGAGTACCGAATTGAATATCAACTATGGAATCCAAGTATAACCACCCGACAAGACCAAAATAGTTTTATTATTTATTTATTTCAACACATAAATATTGGTACAGGAGGGCACCAAATATATTGCGACACACCATATTTTTGTGTGTGTCGGCTGTGATACTGCCCGGATGCCCAAACCGAAGAAGGTGGTTTTCTTAGGAGGCCACACCTCGAGCCTTCAACCTAAAGGTCTGATCCACAAGGCAGTGGAGCATCGTGAGGAGATGTAGCCCCATGGTAGTCGGTGACCAACAATTGGTTTACACGCCATTTGTTCCTTCAGGATACTGGAGCCCATGTGCACCATTAGTTTGGGATCCGGTTAAAGCGTCGGACATTCGCTTTTCGTCCTCTCAATTTCGTAAACAACACCCCCGCCACGAGAAGGCAGTGAGTAGAACTTCCTTGGCAGAGGCCGTATACTTGTGGCCGTGTGAGAGCATTTCGAGAGGGAGGGAGGGCCCACCCCACTCTCGACCATACTAGTGCATTTGGGGGCGAGACTGAAGGTCCTGGGTTCAAATCCCGCGAGGCGGGATCGTGGATGTGCATTGCCAAGGAGGACCGAAATAGGACCAGACGCGAGCCCTGGATTCTGTCGCCAGTCACATTCTATCTATTCCGAGTTTAATGATATAAAATACCAGAGGCTCAACTAATAACAGCTCAATCAACAATTATGATTTCTGTAAAACATTATTAGATCATTTTGCTTATGCTCTACAACCTTCCGACCACTTATCGTGAAATAGAAACTGTCATAAAAATAACGATTAATCCAACACTTAAATGATTTCAATCAAAATTCCAACTTTTTTATGATGCTATTTTCAACCAAAGCGAACCAACGTCACGTATTGTAGTCAAACAATTTTACTTTACCAGGAAGATTAGATACTGAAGTCAAATAGCTTTTAGTATTAATAAAACGATACACCTAGGATTTTTATGCTATACATCTGTACACAAACCAGATGTACCAACAATAAAACAAACTATTGCCTATTAGTACATGTAGATAAGTGGGAGAAATTAGGGGATAATAAGTCAGAGCTATGAACTGACTGACCGAGAAACACTTAACGTATATAGCTCAAAAACTAACTGAATGGTGTGAAAATGATTAGTACAAATAAAGCAAACACGTACAAATAAATAATATCAGATTTTCTGTGCAGATAAATTTTATTCAATACAATTGATCTAAAATGCTTCGAAGTAATTCATAAATTTGGTTGAGAGTTAGACAACAACACTTTACGGCATAATTAGTGTTGCAGACGGTGGACAAGCTCAACTTAATTCAAAATAGGTACGAAGAATCTTGAGCATTTGAGAGCATCACATTTGTCTCATATGCACAATACAAACAGCAAAGCTAAGAAATTACATGAATATTGTCACAGTGAAAGTGACAAACACAAGCACTGCGGAGTACTAGATAATTATTCAAAGTACTGACAAGGTGAAAAAGATAATCCATCGAACCTATGAATATGTTAACGAAGCTTTTGAAAGTCATTCACAACTGGTAATATGAAAAGCTGGTTAAAAGTCACTGGTTTTACAGTTAGCCTGCAGATAACTGAAGGAAAGTGTATCTTCAAAACTAAGTCGCGCAAGAAACGAAGGGAAGATATATTACGCACAAATCAATGAATGAATTTTTTAATTATGAATCTTGATAGGTTTTTCATTTGGAGCATAACGAGGACGTTTAGATGGCTTATGATCAATTCCCAACCATGGGCGACTTTCGGGAAGACAATAGTGAGTAAATCTTTTTATCTGCACTGTGGGATCCCCTTCATTCGGGATGTAGGCACCCTCAGTTGGATAAATTACAGCGAATCGCCAGCGGTCAAACTCCTTTTCAGGTACTTCTAGTCGTTTACGTATACGCTCGCGCACTGCAGTGTAATTTTCTCCATCTCGAATGCGTACAGTAAACGGCACCCCGAAAGTCTCTGTGAAAGCTTTGTCAAAATGAGAAACGTACACTACAGTTTCGTCAGGTTTCAAGTTTATTTCGTCAAGAGGAATTTCTTCAATCCGAAGACTATGAATAGGAGACGACCCTGCATATGTTTGGGGAAACACAGCAGATTCAGGTATGAGTGAAAGTTTTTGTGTTGGAGGATACTCTTGTATAATTCGATTACGAGAGATTTTGAGTAAACGCAGTTGGCCAGAACCACCAGGAGGCAAGACTAAATGACGAGAAGCTTCTTTTAAAAGATCAAAAACTAAACCATTCTGGGGTACTGAAAGAATTAATTCTGCCTTTTCCGATAATTTTTGCCCAACATAAACCACACGAACTTGACGCATTGTTTCAAGTTCATCAATTCGAATAGCCAGATGTGCGTAGTACACACGACGAGGTGGGGAAGAAGTAACAGGACCCAAAGGAGAACGGCTAACAGTCACAGCACCACAAAAACGATTAAGCGGTATTGGGAAGCGATCTGGAGTGGGGGTATTTCCACCAGTCCCTGACAATGTATTTCCGCTGTTAACTAAACCTGGCCCGATACCACCAACATCAGAAGCCCATGAAGTATTCGTGTGCGCAACAGTAAACGGAAGGAAAAATTCCTGCAATGTACCAGAATATGAAGAGCTGATTGCAGGACCGGGAGGTTCTCGCATCAAACCCTGAGCGGCTGCTGCTGCCACAAGTGAATTTAAGTAGGGTGATGACGTTGGGAAACCTGAAACAAACAGGAAAAACAATAGATCACGTTACTCATTGTAATCTCTGAAGTACTTGTGTAACGTTAACTAAATTATTCAAACTGTTTTAGTAACTAAAACAGTCCAAGACAGAATTTCGAAAGTTTGTATGTACGACTTACACACATACATAAGCTAATACATGAACTAATTTCCTGCATACACAGTGGAATACGAGAAGCTAACAATACCAATTTTTTTTTGAAGGAAAATCCATATTCTATAAAGCGAAAATTGAGTTCAGTTCTCTTACTATAGTACAGTTGGGTGAGATATAATGTACACGGACGGCTGGAGAAAAATTATTGAGCGCTAAAACTTCATTTGCTCAGGTGAAAACTTTTTTATATTTAACAAAATTTAATAATACATTGTATGTAATTCCAATTCATTTCAAATATCAACAAGACAACATGAGAATGAGGATCAAAACCACTGTGTCCGCTTTTCTCCCTAAATTGAGAACCACAAGTCGGCAACAGTAAATTAATGACCTAGTACCATGTGCAGTTGACAACACAGAAAGGCTAGTGCATGAAATCTCGAAAACGTTGGTTTTAAAAACCGACTAGTCTGGATAAGGCATCTTAGAAACCAAGTTGGTATTTGTCTAAAGAGCAAACAATCCCGTAAATATAAGCTTGAAAACTGGACATTCTTCCTATAAATTACAGTATAAGTTGTGAGAGCCAAGTGTGCAGTGTGTATCAAAAGTTATCATTTGTGATATTCAAAATAATGTTGGTGAATTGATTTTTGCCCACATATTTCGCTCATTCACTAGGTACTTTACTTAAATATGAGACACATTCTAGGGGTAAAGGCTAATGATATCACATGGTTTTTCAAACCGAAGTAGGTATAGTGGGTTACTAATATGGTAATTAGTAGCTGAAAGCCGGACGTCCTAACCGCTAAGAAACCATTGCATGCTAATAATCAAAACTATGAATTTTATAGAACAATACACAACATGTCAATTAGAAACAACGTAGGGCCAGGTACAAATCCATGTTTTCCACAGTTTGAATAAGTAAACGTGTCATGTTGAAAATTAGCAGGCTTCAGGAGCCAATATAATATACATTGTGACTTCAAGCAAATAATCATTATCCCATTTCGAAGACAGCAACTCGAAGTAAAAAAAAGTGGAACGAATAGAATGAAACAAGAGCAACAATGAGAAATATCTGTGGTAGAAATGTGTTGTATTTACAGAAAATGATGGGTAAATTCGGAATAAACCATAGAGACACATTAAAAAATAAGAATGATTATATTGTACTGTAGTTTCTTCTAACTTACCAGATGATTTGGCTGTTAACAAATGAGGATGAATTGGTGATCCACGAGTTCCTGTAACTCCTAAAGCCCCACTCTCTACAGAACAAACGTTGTTATTGCCACAAGTGTTCTCTGTAGTTTCTGAACTGATAGGTGGAGATGCAAGTTCACTTCCAGTGACACCAGTCCCAGTGGAGACAGGTGAGACATAAATTGGTGCATTAACAGCATCCGTCGTATTGCCAAATCCTTGTTGTGAACGGAAAAATTGAAGACGGTTACTTTGCGTTGATAGGTAAGCTGCAGCAACATTGGCGAATTCCCAATACGTAAGATCGGCTGACACCTGAATGAGAATCCCAGCGTCCTGAGGTCTAAGCTTATCCACCAATAATATTTCGAACTACAAGAAAAAGGGATACTCACAGTAATAATAGACATTACGTTTATATGAATTTATTTGGTAATCGTTACAGAATGTTAGGAAAATGAAGAGTACTTCGCCGAAGGATTGCCTTGGATTACTAGTTTAGGCGTTACAGTTACGAACTAATAAGTAATGCTATAATTCCCTGTATATAGATTGCGCAACACTTCGAATTCAACTTGATTGGGTTTGTGGAAGATAAGTCAAATTTGAAGATAGTCATTGTCACGAACTGTCATCAGCTGCGAAACTACTGGACAGTAAAAAGTGCTGAGAACTTGCAACGCTCCAGTCGAGGGCTTCTGGAGAGGTTGTTGATGAGCAATACTGAGATCTAGACTAAAACGAAACATCCGTCCCTGCTTGCTACTTTCCTTCAGTCCGTTCAGAAAAGTGCTTTAAAGACTTCAAATCAATCAGCTAGAATTGTACAATGATAATTTTAAGTGAGTTTCCAATTAAAACGATGGAAACTAGCACATTTCATGATGATATGTATGAATGCATATGGATTCGCATACAAAATTAATTTAAACTCGACATTAAAATAATTAAGAACTAGAGAATCAATTTCTTAAGAATTTCATTATAGAACACAGAATTTACAATCGTACAGGGATTAGGAATAACTGAGAATCTAAATACCTCAAAAGTATGTACTTAACCCTGAAACATCTTTTTTAAATACACTAGTCTACTACAACCCATTTTGATGAATAGTAAATTATTTCAAATCAACACAAAAAAACATATAGAAACATCTAATTAACATCACCTAAAAGATTTTACGCTACATTCATGGTAGGTTTCCCTATTATATGTGACACAAACAGGTAAATTTCAAGACTGACTTCGAATATAAACATTCAATGAAACAATAGCCATGATCATAATGGTTGATGTAGAACAGTAAACGTCTTACTGGAGATGTTAGATTAGCGGCTAAAACCTGAGTTTGAGTTTTTCAAAAATTCTTGAAATCAGTGACGATTCGCATGCTGAAGGAAATGTTACAGTTTTAAATCATGCACTACGAACTAATTAACCAAACAGATTGCTATTTTAATTCTAGACAACTTGCACAAAATACATGACCATCGAAATGTGATTAGATGATTACTTATTGGTAAATTACTTATAACTAAAATATTTTTTGTAAAAATCTTAAACACCAAACCTATTAAGCACACCTGACGTATATAACTGCTGAAGTAATCAAAAATCGTCAGTTTTTCTGCAGATGAGATTGTTTGCGTTTGTAAATCCGCCGTAATCGGTTGACCCATCAGATTCATACAAGATCGAGATTTATTGCCAGCTACTGCTGGGAAAGTAGCCATTTTATGCAAAGTAATGGAATCAATATTCGATAACGAGACAACAGAAGACTCCGAAATATCTCTGCAAACATCTGCGTTACCACTAACATTATCGTCCACGATATTTGAAGGGATGACTATACCATTCATACCAATAACCTGGCTGTTGTCAGTAAGAAGAGGACTTTCGACAGACGACAAAACATGCGCATCATCTACCAAACTGCTCAACGCTTCTTTCCCCATCTCAGTGGTTTCCATCAATCCAAATGGTAGTGGGATTGAGCAATTCATTGATTTAGCCTACAAAAAAGATAATTAGAAAGTTTCTGAAAAATAATATGTCCATCCCACTGAGTGTAATGAATTCAAAAATCTATGTAACCTTGTTTCATTATCGATACAAATACAGTTACTCCGGTAAATTATAAAATATTACTTCTGAGTCACGAATTCCCAGGGTCAATGAATAAATGGAAAACACTGCACTCAGTTGATGCGGTGACGTACACAGAAAATGCATGAAAAAGACGTCTTTGTTAGACTTTACACACTGAAAGTACATTTTGAAGTTGGATAAGTAGTTTTGTGTCTGACTTATAGAAACAATACAAATATGTGTTTTTTTAGATTCAATGTGCATATTCTTTATATTTAGGATGTGTGATTCACAAAAATTTATCGTCAGTACTTGGCCATAATAAGTAGCTTTAACAAGAAAAGCTGACTGATTATCAATTAATCAATCAATTGACACAGCGCTATATCCGACTAATGGTATGTAATTTCATTCTGGTGTGAGAGCCATGGTATTATTTGACTAATGAGTACTTTATTTAGTACATTGTGGTAACTAACAGTTGAGTTCCGTAATACGTCATGTAATCTCAGTTGTGACAATTTATTAATAATGTTTATCATCAATACCATGAGATAATGTAATTGAAACTCATTAGCTACTCACAAGTTAGTGAACTAAATCTAATTTAAAATACTACCTAGAAGCCTAAACCAAATCAGGAAGTAAGGTTGAATCTGGTGTTAAATGCATTAAACAAAAAGCTGAGTAAGATTATGTTGTAACACAGAGATCTTGGTTAACGTTGCTCACATAAAGCACACATTTTAAATCTAGTGTCTTGGTTCTTTCTAAACTAATCCAAGACTGGATATACAACTTTAAACAGATTACCGTTCCAAATGTTCATAAAAGTTTGGATATTCAGCGGAACTACGAACAATAGATTTGCAACAAAGTACACCAAGACCACATGAGCTAGCTACTAGGGAATAAAACTAGGTTTCGTTATTTATTTCTTCATACATTTGAACAGAATCGGAAAACTATACAATGAGTACTGACATGTATGTATACGCAAAAGGTTGAACAATAAAGTTAACTAACTTGGAAGTACAAAATTTGTCCTTGAATGTCGCGTTTATACATTTTAGATATTGGGATATCAAGTTGTGTAATTTCAGATATCAAAGATTTCGCATCGTCTTGGAAAAACATTAATTTGCAATTAGAAGGTAATCCAACCCGTTCGCGAGCTATTGGTTCAATAACCCTCAACGATTCTTCTCTGCGAATTTCCACATGGCCACAAAATGTTGACGTCCAAGTGAATGGATCGAAATATTTGAGGAAAAACAAGTGTCGATCTATCACAGTTTGTTCTTTATCCACACGAGGAATAAATGAATTAGTCGAAGTATCGGACTGAACAAAAAATATGAGAGCATCTTTCATAGCGCATAATGGTTGATTATCACAAAGTTCAATTAGATGAGTAGGCATGTTCTTACGTCTAATGGTGAAAAAATAGAGGTAAACTACATAACTTTTGACGAATATAGAAACGTGTAAAAATGTTTTTTTTATTTGCTTTAGCGTTTCCGTTTATAAATATCAACGACGTTATTGAACTTTGCTTGCGGATATACGTGAATAAGTGAATAATCCTATTAAAAACTAAGTATTTGTACTAAATTTGAAAAACAGAAATGAGATTTTGAAAAAAAAACAACGGAAGAAACCCATTGACTCATTAAAAAGGATGATTTCTCAGCGAATAAAATTTTCTTTTGGACAAAATTATTTTCTGAAGCTGTATAATAGTATTTATAGGTAGTTTTTACATGCAGTAGTGCACAGTAAAATAGAGAAGTTTTACAAAATTATCAAAGATAACCAAACCTATTCAAGTATCGGATGTGAAAATCAATGAAAATGTTGTATAATATAATCAAGAATATCAAATGATTTTAGGTATAGAATAAAACAAGTATTTCATCATTTAGCAAAGTTGTTACGTCCTGAGCCCTGTCAAATATCACATGACTAAATCGCCAATTAGAAACACAGATTTATATAACGTTGACAGTGTGCCAAACCAATGGCGTGTTAACCAGTACGAGTAGTCTAGAATCAACTCAGAGTCCTTATAAGTTTTTCTCGCGTAGCCTTGTCCGTTAGAGTCCAGAACACAATTTCAATTTCCATTGTATGAATCATATATTTCAGACATACTTGGTTTATACACAAGCAAACCAGACCTCATCACACCACATAATAGCAAATAACAACTATACAACATTAGGCAAAAAGTGGTTGTGTGTGGTACTGTAACTAATAAATGGGGAATAGCTTAGGAATACAAAATCGTATATTAGCCAGTAGGTCAAATGAAAAAAATATAGATAGATAGATAGTTACTTAATAGTTATATAATAGGAATATATTTATAACAGTCAACAAATAGTTCGCAGAAGTGACACAATTTAATCTTCCTCGAACAAAACAAAAGTAATCAAAATTATCAAGAACTAATATTTGTAAAAGTTTTGGAAGTAATAAGTAGTAATTTGTAGAATAGAAACAGAAGATAACTATCTACATTGTACATGATAAAAGGAAGATCATAATAATAGCACTTACGGTTTGTAAAACTTAGAGGGGTGCTAAGAATACGGAATAATAAGGGATTAAACATGACCCGTTTAAACAGAGAGGTCAAGTTTGAAGTGGTCAATTGCTATAGTCTTAAATGGGCACAAATTTCTCATTGAAACCTATTATGAGCCAGTTCTCTTCTTCACCAGGTAGATGATTTTTGAACGACGATTTTAGTGATGGGATGTGACCAGCATTGACCTAGTGTTTTAAAATTGAACGATTCATTGATTGGCATATCCCTTTTGATAGCCATCCAAGGTAGAGATGGATATTCATTTAAAAAGTGCACGCTTTATACGCCTGGTGTAACCTGCTCCACAGAAGCAAATAAATTCTAATTTTGCAAGAGATAAATGAATGATACCTTTATCAACTGTGACGAAGATAGTGACCTTAATACAAGAGTTCAATAATTGCCATCACTGGATTACGTTCATAACATAATCAAAGTTGAATTCGGAAATCCACTTTTTTAATATTCTGTTAAAACACGGATCAGATGGAAATCCATCGTATACAAGAATAAAGTTTAGTATTGTCAACTTGACGTTTTGGTTTTATATTATTATCAAACAACCTGGACAACAAACCATTTTTCAAAAGTATTTTCCGAATTATATTCAACTCATTGTTAAATGTGTTTTCAGTGCACATTTGTCTGACACTTGAGAACAAAGAATTGGGCTAAATTTACCCTCCTCAGTGGCATCAAACTCTGGAAATTCGTATACTACTCGTCCTAGGTTGGCTCTTCGCATGTCGACCGTTGTAAAGATCCACCCTATAATTTTGACTTCGATAAATGTGTAACACTCCTCTATTTTAGTATGCAACACTACATGTAGAAATTACCTATAAATACAATTATACAGCTTCAGAAAACGATATCACTGGGAATAATATTTACCTCGCTGAAAATGCAGTTTGTTTAGTAACACAAAAGGGACCTACCGAGGTTGAAACCGCCACAAACGTATTCCTTCAGGCTGATAATGCAACACACTTGCTACATCTTCTAGTAATTTCGGACGAACAGTTTGTTTTTGAACGCGTAACATCCGACTGGGCAATAACTCTTGACTACACAAATCTGGACCCTAAAATTTAAAACAGTACTATGGATTAAATTTATAGGAAGTGATAAAAACAAATGAAAGATTGAGAAGGTGAAGTACATTTGAAATTAGGCAATATAAAACCAAATTTAGCTGACGTACTTGCCAACCATAGAAGTCCTCTTCAAGTATTAACTGAATAGCGACATACAAATGAACCTTTTCTTTTTGTTTTCTTTTAGCCTCATCCATTTTTTGTTCATCCATGAATCGCTCGCGTAATGTCTCAGGAATATCTATCTCAGAAACAGGGCATAAAACATCATCTTTCGCGGAATCTGCGATATACACAAGCATATAAGCGTTTGTGCAAAGACGCATATCAGGATCATCACTACCTCCGAAATTCTGTAATAAAATAAGTATAATTATAATAAATCAAAAGTGTGAGTGTAAAAAATATATATTATTCTATAAAAACACGTGTAGTTCAAACGTAACAGAGAGATAATAATTATATCAATAATTGAATTATCTATATAAATGAAACGTTCATGCACCCTTTAAAACAATGCACTATGAACACAAGGAATGCAAACATGAAATAATTAACAAAATGTCATCTTTAGAACTTATTTGTTTCAAGAATTATCAATAAATGAGAAGACTACCGCATTCTGTTCAGTGATGTAATCATGATTTGATACCAAAATATTTTAATAAAGCCAACGTAACTCAGCTAGGATGTTAATTGAGCCCCCCAAAACTAAACAGTGAGACGCATGAAATGTGAAAACACAATCACAGGATAATGCTATGCTAATAGATGCAAAAGCAGTAAACCACGTTGTTGGGTAACTAGAAAAAGTCTACCCTAGTCTTAAGGCAAGTTCAAAAATCCCAACTCAATTATATATTTGGCAAAATTATACAATGTCAATCAGCTACGACGTAGGACCAGGTACATACATGCATCAGTCCAAGTTGCCATACTACATTAGCACATCAAGATGAACACTGGATTCATAGAATTAGCTAAGTCAATTATATAAAAGAAAGATTGCATATAAGGATATACTACAGCAAGAAAGAATAGGTACGTAGAAAGATATGAAGCGATTTTTAACTTATAGTTTAAGGGAAGACAAAAAGTGTATACACCTACCCCATTGTGATCGATTCTGAGCCATGTCACTGAACAACTGAACAATACTCCACTTAAATAACATTCTCGACCGTTGTTGCTACCTTAACGTGGTGTTCGGGCTTGCCCATAGTGATGAACCAATCGAGTTATATTGACTGGAACAATCGTTCCTCAAGGTCCTACAGTGTCAGACAAGTCGATTGAAGAACAGTAAGACTAAAAGCAGCAAACCCAAGGTCCGAAGATGAAGTCGTACTGCTGACTGTACAGAGATGTGACGGCAGTAAGGTGTTTCTTTCCGACAACCATCATGACTGATGCTACATTCTCACAAAGGGTGAGGTTGGAAAAGGAGTTGCATCGACCACATATTCACCATTCGTCAGGTTCTAGAACACAGGTATACTTATCGGTGTCCAACAATGGTCTTTCTTAACTTAAAAGCACCAATTGAATGTGTAGACCGCGAGATTCTGTGGCAGTGTCTGTCATTAAAAGGCGTACCTCAGAAGTAAATAAACCTTGTGAAGGCTCTTCATTCGAACACTACTAGTCGAGTCAGAGCTTATGCCGAACTGTCATCTGCTTTAGCAACCTCAAATGGTGTCCGTCAAAGCTGTCCGGTTTCTCGATTTTTGTTTAACTTCATCATAGACCTACTGCTGTAAATAACGCTTTCGTCGACTGAATTTTCGGGCAATGATTTCTTACCAGGAGGTCCACTTATCGACTTAGAATAAGCAGATGACATATTCGTGTTTGGTGAAGATGCTGATAAAATGCCAAGTCTTTTGGTAGCATTGAACGACAATGCCAGAATGTTTGGGATGTGTTTCTGCTCCCCCCTCTAAATGCAAGTTGTTGTTTCGGGACTGGCCTGCGTCTATATATGGGTGAAGCTACTTTCAAAATGAGTACTTGAACACGTAATCTTCATTGGCACCAATATCTAAAATCAGCACACTAGATCTGACCATTGATTTGGAAACCGGCAGTAGATGTTACACCTTGCCGCAGAAATACATTTTGTGTAACTCTTGAAACAAACCACATTAACTTACTATGATAAAAGAATAGCCCAAACTAACATTGATCACTTTGAGTGAATCAGCTATCACAGATGATTAGAGCAGTCAACGTTATAGATTAAGACTAATTCAGATATTACTATATATCACAAAGTGTAAAATATGTACTTTGTTACTGAGTAATATAACATCAAAATCAAATTATCCAGGTTGTTAATGAGCACTTTAAATCGAGACCAGAAAAAGTATACTAGTACTAAAATTTTAAAAGCTACATGAATGCAACAACATGAGTGCACGCATATAAGCTTTATGTGAATCTTACATAATTGTCCAGATACAAGGCAAACAAACAGTGTTAAACATAGACTTGAAACATATATCCACAGTAAACTAAGAGTAAGGTTTTGGAATTAGTTAGCCAAGACGAATACTTTGAATGAAGTACTGTTTTGAAGTCAGACAATGACTTAAATTACTCTCACTATCAACAGCAGTAGCATTGAAAAGAGAACACTTGAATATCATCAAATGAGCAAAAAATGAATACATGTTCAACTAAAATCTGTTGCATTACCCAAAGGAAAAAGATTGAATTAAAATTAGGAATCATACCATCTATATTTATATGGGTTTTTTTTAACAAACAAGTTTTTTTTAACCTAGTAGCAATGATTACAAACAGCAAACTAAAACTAAACCGCCATGAAAGTTAATGTCAGATGAATAAAACGTTAAAAAATTTACCATATCGATAGCATCACGGGGTGAGCAACGTGAAACAACATCATCGTCAAACTGATACCATATACCATTTAGCGCTGGATTTATATATACAACATAATGACCACCATGATTATCGCCAGAGTGCACAAGTACAGCGTGAAGTTTGTAAGTAGATGGTTTTGGTTCAGCCAAAAACTGATCCAACTTAAGAATAGGTGGAAATTCAAACCGATCATTTAGTTTGATATTTGTATCAGCAACGAAGTCATACTGAAAACGCATTAGTTGCAGATACAATACCGGCGGAAATCGTGTAAATATAACACCTTTTTCAGCTTCTTGGAGCCCATAAGCACCAGCATCATATTTATTATCTTGAGAGAGGGTTTCTTTAGCAATGTATTCATTGAAAGCGTCATAAACAGAACGATTTCCGTTAACCTTAAGTTGGATATCATAGAAATTTTCTTCTCTCTTAGAAGAATAAGGAACGTTGATACAATTTATATAAGAAAGCATTTTCCCACAAAATAGTCCGGGTATAACATCCTCAACTGAAGTACCTTTCATTTTGTTTTCCAAGTTGTCTAGTAAAACCCGACATAATTCCTGAGCATCATGTTGCATAAATGAGTCTAAAGTGGCCCAACCAAAACTGCGAGTCAACTTTTTAGTGCCTACAGCACGACTACTGAACTGCAATTCATAAAATACTCGCTGCAGAGCCAGAGGTACACTTGTTTGGGCATCATCACTTTCCGTTGGCATTAAAAATACTGCACGTCGTAATTTATTTGTGCAATACAATGCTTGAAGTAGAGAATTTAGATAGCAAGTAGCGCCCTGATTTTTCAGCCCAACAAATCCAGTGTGGCGTTTGGAATCCCAATCAGCACCATGAGGAGCATCAGCTTTAATATGAGCTCGGATAATAATTGTATCTTTCGGATCTGTTGGAGATAAGAAACCTCTCTCTGGATTAAGCAACTCGTCATAACTAATAAATTGTTGGAAACCCCAATCGTTTTCCTTGTGTGTGAAAGTATGCTGAATTTTCATTTCTTTATTCTTACAATTCGATCTCTGAGCAACTAACTGAATAGTTGCTTTGGCGGTACAACTCCAAGTTAGTGATTCGCTTTCTGCATTACACTGTACAAAAACACCAATTGTCGACTGAGCGTCCGGTGGATGAAAAATTACAAGTATTTTCCACGGGAGACAACGAATCATTCCTGATCCTCGAACCACCTTTAAAAAGGGATTAAAATTATTGATGTAACATACAGACATCTTGCAGTTACTAAAATTCATTTGAACTACAAGAAAAATGCTTCATTTTTGGATATTCATTATGGTACTACTACTGTTCCTAAAAAAGACCTACGCAAGAATGACAGAAGTAAATATTTACAAAATTTCGTTTTGTAAGACTGAGAAATTCTACTTCGATATTCATTTACTATAAACAGTATTCATGGACTGTCATCTTTTCATAATAATCACAGAAAATACTACGACGAGTTATAAGATATACCTTTCAACATAATGAAAATGCTTTGCTTCTACTGATCTGTACCACTTTAAACTCCAATTGGACTATTGTTTAGTCTTAAGATTCCCGAGCATGTATCATTTCAACTTGATAGTGTACGCTCACTGACCGAAAATTACTCTTAACTTCATATGAAGAACTTGTTAATTAGGTAGTCTAATACCCGTCTTCATTGATTATCAATATAAATATAAGCGCGCTATAAAAATACAATCGTGTCTTTCAGACGGATAGGTCCACTATGTAAGTGGGTGCATTTTAGGTAATATCGTATGACATACTCAGTTGTGAAAACACCAGAAAAAATTTATTCATTCTAATATAGCACATCGGTAAAGATCATCATTTCTGTACAATGGCTAATACAACTTTGACCTCTCAGAAGTATAAGTGAAAATAAAAATTAGGCTTACAAGTCAAAATGATACGATAACTAGATAAACTAGGGGAATTAACCATCGTGTTCTGTATACTTATAGACAATGTCAAATATTACTGGCACCCTTAGTAGGTACATGGAATCCGGTTGGGGTTCGCTCATTTATCATAACCAACCAAAAGGGTACAGATCCATTCACTCTGTCTCCTCATAGATCATAAGTTTTAAAATTACTTTATACATATTGTTCTGTGAACTCATTCTTTTTACCTTCAGTGTCTAATTTTTCCTATTACTGCTGATACTATTACTACTTTTAATTTAGCATATATCTAGATAGTTACATCTTGCATTGATAAAGCAGTTTAGCAACCTGAACCGATAGAAAGATGTGCTAGGTTACGAGTAGCGGGCAACTGACTTTTTATATTGTTCAGAAATAATCACAAATTAATGAGAAAAGCCAAAACAAATTGAATATAGAAAACACTTACGCGAACGTCTGCACGTGCGGCACTTTGCTGAAAACGTTTGAAAAAAAGGAAATTTATTCATCAGGGCGTAAGAAAATATAAATAATACCTAGAATAACTGTTTCAAACCAAAGAGCAGACAGTAGCACTTAGTATTATGAATGAATACTGCATAATGCATTCGCAACGATTCAGGAGAACCATATTTATATGTGAAGGTTGAACTAGTGAAACCGTATTTAGAAACATCTACAAGCTTCAATGGTTGACAAACGACCAATTTGTACGTCGTTTTTTATGATACAGTAAGCGTGGGCAAACAAGAAAGTGGTTAGTTAGTTTCTTCTAACAGAAAATAGCATTTTTGTATTTTCACCTCTAGTTCTCGTTTTTATAACAAATAATTCTAGTTATCGAGACTTTTTGCAACTATTTTAATCTGACAAAGAAAACCTTCATCAATCTCTAAGTAAAATGCGAGAAGCTAACTTCGTACACAGGAAATTCCGTAATGGTTAATCAATTATTACGATAAATAGATGCTGAACCTAACTATCAAAACATACCCACCGTACCGATAAAGTATAATAGTATGAGACTCTTGAAAGTGAGCATCTACGATCACACACAGGACCTCCGGCCCCGGATCGAACGACTAACATCAAGACTAATATACCCCTATCCAACAGTATTGGTGCTTAACTTTAAGCAATCCACAATCCTATACTGAAAACTATCATGCACCGACTAATCAGTAGCTTCGCAAGGAAAATGCAGACATCTTAAATGTGGGTTTTATCCTAGAAAACATCGGTAGCTGTCCATCGTTTCATGAAAAAAGTCAATGTAGACAGACTACCTAAAAATGTATGGGATGGTTGAAGTAGTCGGTCATGAAAGAATGTTTGAAACGCTTAAGGTATATTTCGGCTTATAAACCGAAGTTAAGATGACATCACAGATCATTTACACCTTTTAACAGTAAACTTATCTATGGTTTCAGTTCGCATTAAACTCATTTTAGCCAGTGGGTTTCCAAGAATTCTATTCGATACCAACGTAAATACGATAAAAACGGGATATTCTATCAACATCATTGCTATGTTTGAAGAAGTCACGAGTTCACCTAATCTGCGAACGGAACGAAGACTCAGTGACACAATGACCAATAAGCTAACTCTTCCGATGCGACCCAGCCCCCCCCCCTAACTAGAGAGAGAAGTCCAGACTCAGAAGAGGGAAATCTATTCCACAAGCAGCCAGAAGCACGAACAACAACAATAAGCACAACTCAAGCGTATTTATACAGCATAAAAACGTCTTTGGGAAACGTTACAAAAACATATTAAAAGAGACCACAAACCAATAACATTTAAGTTCCACCCAAGTGGGAAATATGACATGAAGGTGAAAATTGGTGCTTTTAGTGAGCAAACAAGAAATTCAAATTTTTAAAATAGCATTATAAAAATGAGACATTTACCAAGTGAGTTTCTGGGGATCTAACATCCCCAACAATCTTTTAACACCTTCAACTTACCAAGCAGTACTAATTGTAACTATTATTTAAACAGATACTACTTGAAAGTTTAAGTAGTCTAGGGTCCTTTGTGTACATAGTAACTTTCAGTGATGAGTTTTTAAAAGTGTACTACGCAAAAAACATATGACACCTACATAATATGTCAAACACAGGATCAGGGTACAAACGTAATGAACAAAAGATTCAGTCAAAATGAAATAAACATACTTTCTGATGTAAAATGTTTTCGAAGACACCTTCGATAACTCCTGAAGCTCTTGCTTCGTCATTTTCGTCAAAGGCATCAACCGAAGCATCTGTTTGTTCACAAGTTGTCCCGCAGCATCCTTTGACAGTAGCATTATAAAACCAAGGGTGTTGTTCATCCTACATATGAGAATCAAAATTATAAGGAGGTTAGGAACAATAGGTTTCCTTCAAAACATTGAGTTAGGTATCAGATAAGAATGGAATAACCTGTAAGGAGTTTCTATGATTAAATTGAAAAATATGTAACTACCTTAATGGTATTATATATATACTTAATATGCAAATTATGGTACAACTGGACACCAAAGATAGAATGCAACATACGAAAAACATAAAAAGCATTGCAAAGGTGATAATGAGATAAAGGTAGAACAATTTAAGAGGAAGAATAAGTGAACACGAACAGTCAACAACATAACCGAAAAAAAGTACTTCCAGTTAAGGAAATTACTTTTAGTTCTAAGAAGAATGTATAGGAAAACTAAAACAGGATCCTCAGTAGCATATATTTTGAGCCATGTTTGATAACGTACCAAATGCCCTGATACGGTCGAGGGTGGGGAATCACCTTTCCCTCTCGAGATACTCTCACATGACCACCCGTAAACAGCCAATTCCAGGGAAGTGTTGTTTACGAAATTCAGAGGACGCAAGGCGAATGTCCGGCGCTTCAATTGGATTGATGGACACGGAGGGTCCACCTGGGGAAGTTTTATTTATTTTATTTACATTAACACCTAACTATGGTACAAAGGGGCACCGAATATATATGCGCCACACAAAACAATGGGAATGAGAAGAGAAGAAAAGGAAGGTAAGGGGCCTAAAAGAAAAAAAAGAACTATAACGAACAGATTAGTGTAAGGTAATGTAACAATAAAAATAATAATAATAATAATAATAATAATAATAATAATGGGGGAAACGGAAAGGTACAATCAGAAGAATTCTTGCAGTTCAGGAAGATACAACCACTTTTTATGAAGAAATTAAAAGGTTACAGCAAGATTGCCACTGGCTTCTATTCTGAGCCATATCTGATAACGTCTGTAGCCACTGTGTAGCACCATCTCTCGGACCCCAGCCAGGGAGTCGTGAAGGGCCAACATAAGCCAGCCCTTTGCAACCTTCTTTCATACCACGACTCCATGTCATACACTGACCACCTCTCCACTTTTTCCAGCCAGTCCCAGAGTTGGCAAATAATGCACGACGTGGAATTCTCTGGGACGACATTCGTAGAATATGTCCAAGCCATCGAAGTCGGTGTTTCAAGATGGTGACACCAATTGAATTATCGTCTCTGTGCCCAAACACACGATGCCGAACCTCTGCATTACTGACATGGTGTTGCCACTGGATGTCAGTAATCCTTCAGAGACAACGATGATCAAACACAGAGTCGTCTAACATCCTCAACTCGGAGAGACCGGGTTTCACGAGCACATAGCAGAACCGCTCTTAACGACGCGTTGTAGATCCGAACTTTTACAGCCAGACTAACATCACGAATGCGCCAAAGATGTCACAGATTGGCATAAGCCGCTCTGGCTTTCACTATACGTGCATTGATCTCATCACTCACACCCCCACCAGCACTTATGCAGCAGCCTAGATACACAAACTTCTCGACCACTTCTATCTGCTCACCATCTAGGGTGAGTACAGGATTTGAATCCTGCCAGTCTTGTAGAAGTACTTTGCACTTCGAAGGTGCAAAGCACATACCATACCTACGGACACTGATTGCCAACTGATTAAATGCGGATTGCATGCCTTGGGCATTACCGCACAATAAGACAATATTATCCGCATACTCAAGGTCGAGAAGTCTTTCTCCAGGCAACAGATCCACACCGCCATTAATTACTTTCGTCAGAGCTGTTTCCAGAACGTCATCGATGGCGAAACTGAAGAGGAATAGTGAGATCGGGTAACCCTGTCTAATCCCACTGATCGAATGGAACAATGGAGAAAGGTGGTTGTATGCCCTCACTCTGCCTGAGGTGTTTGTATATAGGGCTTTTAGGATGTTAATAAACTTTTCAGACACACCCTTCTTCAATAGACAATCCCAGAGAACAGTCCTGTCCAACGAATCGAAGGCAGCCCTGATGTCAAGAAACACTACGATTGTTGGCCTTTGATAAGTATGACGGTGTTCTAACATTTGGCGGAGGGTGAAGATATGATCAATACATCCTCGACCAGAACGAAAACCAGCCTGTTCCTCGCGAGTCAGTCTTTCTCGGGTTCTGAACAACCTACGAAGTATGACGAAAGTCAATAGCTTGGACGCAATCGGAAGTAAACTTATCCCTGGTAGTTGTTACAGGAACGACGTGAACCCTTTTTTAAGATAGGGACAACTATCGACTCATTCCATGACGTTGTTACACTCTCTAGCTCCCAGACCTTTGTAAACAACACAGTCAGTTCCTTAGCCAGAAGGTCACCACTATCTTTAAAATGAGTCGGAGGTAAGTCATCTGGGCCAGGTGATTTGTAGCGCTTCAAGAGTTGGAGTTCCTTGCAGACTTCCGCCTCATTCGGTGGACCAGTCGTCACCGGCCATGGAGGGCAGGACAGTCTGACCGATGTTGCTGGGGCATCAGACCACTTGAATTGCTCCTCGAAAAACTCTGCCCACCATCCAAGACGTCGATGGATGTTAGTGATTGGCATTCATTCATCCTCGCAGATTGTTTCACTCACACCAGACTTGCTGCCAGTAGCTCGGATGAGTTGAAAGAGCTTCTGGTAGTTACCAGATGCAGCTGGTGCTTCCAGCTCATTAGCACGCTGCGACCACCAGGCTTCTCGGTCTTTACGCAAGCTTTGCCCGATTTCATTACGCAACAGCCTTCGTTTGTGATCAAACTCACGGTCACCCGGAGTAGATGGGAACATACTTATATTGATTCTGCAGCTCAATAGTATTGTACTTACTGTAACATGGAGAACCTGAGCTCGATTTCGTACAGGCCTGTGAGTACACCGCTAAATATCAAGTTAGAGAATGAACGTCCAGACAGGTAGTCCAGAACAGGCGGCAGTTTTCTACCGAGCCTCTCCAATGAGGACTGATTGCAATATGGTCTATTTGAGTTCGATGGTTTGGTGCAGGAGGTCGCCATGTTTGATGATGTCTCTCCTTATGCTTAAAGTTAGTGCTTGCTAAAAATAAATGATCGTTTGAGTACACTTGCAGCAGACGATCACCATTATCTGTTTGCTGATTCGAGATACTAAAATACCCACCTTAATGTCTTTTTGTTTGGTTTAAGCTACCTACTTGGGCATTAAAGTCACCTGCTAAGAGTACTATGTTAGAGCGTTTAGCTTTCTGCAGAAGTTCGGACAGCTTTCTGTAAAATTCATCTTTCACTTCATCTGAGCTACAGTCAGTGGGAGCGTAGGCAGAAACGACGAAAAGGCAACGACGTGTGTCCCTATCCTTCCGAGTTCTTACGGAGTCGTTTAGACGAACAGCACATAAACGACTGTTGACGGAGATCCACTCTAGCAGTGCTTGTTCCGCCCTCATGCTTAGTGCTATGCCTACACCTGCCAGTCTACGAGAAATGGCCATCGGGTCACCAGATACACGGAGGGTGTATCTCGTTGGCTCTCCGTTTTGACGAGGTGAGGTCAAGTGAATGACCACACTGGAATCCTGTATGCGTGTTTCGGAGACACAGCATACATCAGTGGTAAGAGACTCTAGGGTTCTAGCCAAGGAAGCCTGCTGACCGATTTGACATAGGGTTCGTACGTTGAAGGCTCCAATGTGTAGTTTGGAGCGAGGTTTCAGTAGACCTGGAACAGTGTTTTGAGCACTAGAATCGTTGGTTGTCGGAAGGAAACACCTTACTGCCGTCACACCTCTGTACAGTCAGCAATACTTCATCTTCGGATCTTGGATTTGCTGCTCTTAGTCTTACTGTTCTTCAATCGACTTGTCTGACACTGTAGGACCTTGAGGAACGATTGTTCCAGTCAGTATAACTCGATTGGTTCATCACTATGGGCAAGCCCGAACACCACGTTAAGGTAGCAACAACGGTCGGTATAAACAAAGAAATAAAACTTAAAATCAGTGGATGTATAACTACTAAATAAGCTGTAATGTTACGAATAAATTAGTGACAGTATGGAAGCATATGATTTCGAAAGTTAATTTGTGATCATTCACCTGACTTGCATCTGAGGATGGATCGTGTTCTGAAGTATCACTCAAGGGTTGTTCGACTTCCATAGCTTCTTCATATTCCAGTGCATGAAGGCCCGCATTACGGTTAATAGCATTTGGGTTTGTCTGGGGAGTATTAGGACTCAATTTCCCTTGTTTGTGAGACATTCAAGTGGTCCTTGAAAAGCACCAACAGTTAACTGAAATAATCTGAAAATGAAAGTAACATCAGTCTCTAAATATTTAGTATTCAGTATAAACCAGACTTGATAATTTTAAAACACTAATAAATTAACATGGATCACTACTAAACCAATAATTCAGCGACAGACATCTCGAAAAATTTACCAAAATATGGGGAATCGAGAGAGACAATGACAGTAATACGAGATTTAGTGGGATATAAAGTCAATACTGTGATCCAGCCACACCAATGTCTTTGCACATTTAAACACAGAACCTGATATACGGTTATGCCAGGTGCTCGCTGACAGGCAGTCTATGGTTTTGATTGTGCTACAGAGTGAATTTGCAACGAGATTTTGTCTGTCGTTAGATTAACAGTCCTAATGTATGTGCTCAGATAGAATGACCAACGAATTCAAACTAGTTCCCCAGACTGGTAATTAAATGAAAGTTCACGTTTAGAAAACTACTTCAGGTGTTCTCAGATGACCATCGGACTAAAAACTAAGGAGAAAAGAACTTTGAACTAAGGTCTTAACTGGCGTCTGACTGAAGTCTCTGGATGATAAAAAATCGATTAAGATACATATATATTCATTTACTTTCATATTTAGAAATATTTCCATACATTCTTTTTGTTGAATTTCTCTCGTTTTAAAATTCATGACTCCCGTTGGGGGCTCATTTGCTTTATTCTGAGGAGGTAGACCACTAATACGCTATACAAGATCCCACTTTATATCTGAACCCAACGAAAATCTCATGATCTGATAACCTGATGTATGGGCGAGAATGATAATGACTGGTTGTTTGTTTAGTTAGGCTTGTAGATAGTCTGACAGGTGTTAGATGAATTATATATTCGCTTATCCTTATTATTATTAATTGTTGACGGATTGTTGTTGGTTTTTGGTGTGGAAATATATTTACGTTCTAGTTAGGCTAATCACGTTCTTGGTCTGAGTGGTGTTCAAGTCCTGTAGAATAGACACTGAGAGGGAATCTAGTGTAGATATTCGCCTAAGGCAAATTAACGTCCTATTCATGTAGACGTGGGAAACCAAGTGTTATAACAATGGCGATTTCGTAACAGTAAAATGGATTAACTGAAATCTTTATTGCAAGAGCAAAATGCTTTTATCGAATTATTGGTCAAGAATATGTCAGTATCCCCAAGAAACCAGGTATCTAATTCTACTATGACTTCGGATTCTATTGCCTATTCAATAAATGAATTTAGATTTGAATAGAAAGTGGGATTACTTTTGAAGCGTGGTTTAAGCGCCAAGAGGATTTATTTATTAATGATTGTAAAGAGTGGGACGAAGGTTCGAAACTAAGATTATTACTACGGAAGCTTGGAGTTTCTAAACATGAAAAGTTTCGTCATTTTATTCTCCCAAAAAAACCAACCGACATAACCTTCAGAGAAACAGTAGGATTCCTGACACGTATATTTGGTGAACGACCATCAACTTTTCTCCAACTTGTAAAAAGTTTGCATGACGATCATGTGACGTGCGCAAGCATCGTAAACTGTGAACGTGAGCGGTTTCGGTTACAGGAAATGTCCTCATAACAGTTTAAATGCCTTATATTTTGTCTGTGGATTACAATCTGCAGTAGATGCAGATATTAGAACATGGATTCTAGCGAGGATCGAATAAGATCCCAATATCAGTCTGCAGTCAGTATCTGAAGAATGTCAAAGAATAGTGAATTTGAAGCATGATACAAATTTCGTAGAAAGGAACAGTGGATACGTGGAAGTCAACGCTTTGCAAAATTCTCTTAATGGAAATAAGGATTTGTACTTCCAGCGAATCCCAAGTCGGATGAAACCCAAAACGTCTTGTTGGTGATGCGGTGAGTGTCATTCTGCTAATGTTCGCTATTTTTAAAGTGTTTTCGACGTGGTAAATATGGTCATCCTCAATTATGTTGTAAAGTAGACCAAAGATGGCCGACCATCAGCATAAGTTCCGTAAAGAAAATAAGACGCGGAAGTCAAAAGAGATAGCACATAATTGGAATGTTGTTCTGGCCACAAAAATTGCTCAATTCTCACCTAAAAGGAAGTACGCAACTGTCCTTTTTTAATAGCAAACCGGTTGGGCTGCAAGTAGGTACGGGGTCTGACATAACATAAATTTACAGACATGGATAAAACTTGGCCAACCTCAATTTCAACCTACATATTATAGTGCTAAGAGTGCAACAGAAACTAACATTACTCTTCTTAAAGAAATACAGCCACCTCTCACACACTGGGTAACAAGACTACGATCGAAAGATGTTATATTTCTGGGAACTGTCATACCAACACATTAGGTATTGATTGGATAGATAAAGTTGGTTTGTGGATTCTACCGTTGAATACACCAAAAGTAGAAGCCCAGCCATGGCCAGAAACGAGCAAGCCTTGGGTCCGAATACGCATCAATTATGCTGGACTAATAAGCGGACAATATTTTCGGTGGTAGATTCATACTCTAAATGGCCTGAAATATATGCTGTACGAAGACCGTCTACATCTGAAACACTTACATCTCAGACAACTATTTGGTAGGTTTGGAACACCTAATGCTTTGGTTTCAGATAACGGAACGCAATATACGTCGTCAGAGTGTGGAGCTCTGCAAACAAAATGGAATATATATATGAGAACCCCACCGTATCACCCTCAGTCAAATGAGCAAGCAGAAAAATTTGTTGATATTCTTAAGCGAGTTCTCTTAAAGATAAGAGAAGAAACTCTGCAACATGTTTTAATCTCTTATGGAATTACACCTAGTCCAATCTGTTAAGACAGAAAATCACCAGCCCAAATATTTGGCTGACCATTAGGACGTTTTTGATGTTTTGAACCCGAAAGACAAAACGAGTGGACTACAGAAAAATAAGAAATGGAATTTCCTTAAGATTCGAGAAGATAAAGCAGGTGACTTAGTTTATGCACGTGATTTCCGTCCAAGAAAGCCAAAATGGATATTTGGGTGTATAAAAAAAGACGTAGGAAGGTATTGTATGAGTGATGGTTGAAAATACACTAATTACTAGACGTATAAATCATCTGCGATATAGAAAAATGTTAATGAGTCATCTAAAGCGTAACCCGATCCAATGGAAGTATTATGCGATACATTTGATATTCCACCATCCTCACAAGTTGAAATTAGTCGAAATCAGAAGCTAACCGGTCACCAAGAGAATGAAAAAGACGAGACTTTCCCAGATAGACTCAATGGTGAAGTCATAGGAACAAATTTCACGAGGGAGGCGATGTGTGTGCGAGAATGATAATGACTGATTGTTTGTTTAGTTAGGCTTGTAGATAGTCTGACAGGTGTTAGATGAATTATATATTCTCCTATCCTTATTATTATTAATTGTTGACGGATTGTTGTTGGTTTTTGGTGTGGAAATATATTTACATTCTAGTTAGGCTAATCACGTTCTTGGTCTGAGTGGTGTTCAAGTCCTGTAGAATAGACACTGAGAGGGAATCTAGTGTAGATATTCGCCTAAGGCAAATTAACGTCCTATTCGTGTAGACATGGAAAACTGAGCGTTATAGCATAATCATTGAAGTCGCTGGTTAATAGTAGATCACTAAAAACTAATACCATTGAAATACGGTGCATTACTAATTGGTTTTGCAATGTACGATCTAGGCAAACACTACCGGGATTTCCGATGCAACTACAAAGGGGCAAATAAATATCTATAGCGGGTATATGATCACATTTTAAATCCCTCACGTGGGTACGAAGACTGAGAGGTAACTTTGAGTGCAACACATACACAAGCCTTTTAGAGTCATATTGAGGGACATCTAGGAATAAGTTGGATTTGAAACATAATGAATGGTTTTGATGTCAAAGATTGGTGTCGTCACCAATAAGTATACAGCACTACCCGAACTTAATATTTCTTGTTAGTTTATCAACTTCAGCGGGGATCTTTTCTTCAACTATGCCACATTTTTTAAGTTTGCTTTCGTCAACTTACTTTATTGAGAACACATGGTAGATTCACTTACAAAAACACTATAAAATGACTTATTAAATGCGGTTTTCTGGCCACTTTGAGTAACAGTGCAAGCATGTTTAGGATGCTATTCTCTCCTCAAGTGCAAATTGTTGCCTCAGAACTGGCCTGCGTTGGCGCACAAATTAATGAGAATGAAGTAACTGGGTGTACCAACCTTATCACTTGGGAGTCTCATCAGTCATTATGAGATGCTGTCTGATGAAATTTCGACATAAATTTGAAAATCCCAACTGTTTTTTTCCAAATCGAGTCAATTGTGACGTGTGTAAGATATCCCTGAACCAACTAAAGGACGGGTTTACTGCTTAGTACTTTACGTCGTTCTACTTCATGATCGTGGAACATGGCTATTAAAAATAAAGGATATTTCTAGGTGACTAGTATTCGACAATAAATGTATTTGAAGCGCTGCTTGTCTGCTTTGGGATCACTGAGTAAATGGTGCCTAAGTTAGAGATAGTGTACTAGGTAACCTATTAGTCTATCAGCTGATGAGGAAGTAAATCAACTGAGGTGGTTGAGACATATGCTACGTTTGCCCAACCACTCACTGCATAACACGACGGACGGTGTCTTGTGTAGTAGGTTGGGAAAAAGCTATGTGGCCATACCAGCATTTTACATAGTTAACTACGACTAGGGTTGCTACTATCGTCACCATAAGATGATCAACATCTAGGATACGATAATCAGAAACTTAATAATTTACTTATGGTTTATCGAGATTTTATATTTTGGAATCCACCCGAACAGCCGGCATTAATATTGGTAGTTTCAGCGCGTGGAATCGCAAAGTAAAAATGTCACAATGGTAGCTATGAGGTGCGCCACTTGTCTTGATGTGTCACAACCACAGGCTTCATCATCATTTACGGCTAATAATCATTTAGCCTTTTGTTTTAACTAGAGGATTTTTCAAATACTAAGCCGACCAAAAATTATGGTAAGAAACCATCTTACGAATCCTAACAGTGCAACTATATGCTAGCAGCTAAATAGTTTGGAATTTAAGCAAGAGTACGAAGAGCTTTAATGCAGGCGTCCCAGAGGTACAACCAAACCACACTATGACCAGAGGCCGAGTATAGAAGTCGATACTCGTCAAATGAAGGTCTACCAACTCAAGTGATGAGAATTTGGTATTAGGAATCATCAGCGAGACCACAATTTACGGACGAATGAGTTAGATATAAGGTATCAGGTCTTGGATTTAGTTGCAAAATTCATTCATCCATTTGGCTAAATAGCATTTTGATAATATCGCTGTCAGTTTATGATGAAAACCCCAAATCTAATTTCTAACTTAAGCCACCAACTGTAACTCCTAATCCTAATTCCACGCACCGGTTTATAATCCGCACTTAGTCCTAGTTACTAGGTGGACACTCAATGTCAGATGTCCTCCATGAATTAGTCCCACCGAATCATCTTATTGAAGTGGTGGAAAAGTTTGAACATTAACTGCTATTAGTAGACTTCTTATGTCTTGCATTTATATTCAGATTCTACCTCAATCTCACCGTTATTGGAACGCTTTCCTGACTTGTTGGCACTATGTAATTGAATAACGGTACGCAATGACCACTATACCACGCCCGTAATATTGAATCCCCATTTTGTTATGGTAGAAGATATAGGTTAAGCACTTTTGGGGCTTTGTAATATAATAATAATCCGGTAACTGAATGGGAAAACCCATAATCGGATAAGTCGACACCATGCATGAAGATCAGGTTAAGAACGTCAATACCGAGACATTGCAGATCATTTTGCAAGAAACAGGAGTCTGGTACATATATCCACCACAGGAATGTCATAAATGGTCGTTGAAATAATTCAGAATATCTCATACGCTTACTAAAAATTTAGGTGGTGTTATCTATATTAGCATTTTTCAAGAGTATAATAATGAGGCGTTTCCATCGGTATAAAAACAAAGCCTCCAATCGGAAAGCACGATATTCTAAAAGCTATGGGTGTATCCGTACGCAAAACACTAAGGAGAATCAGTTTTATAATCATTTACAATCAAGCTGTAACTAAAGCCTTAGCTAATAATATGTCCGAATAATGTGTGAAGCAAAACCCAAACCTTATCTGGACATAATACGAGACCATTCGAACGTATATGGCAAAAAGTAAACGAACCTTATTCTACAAATTATCAAGAAACAACGGGATTTCCACGAAGCCCAAGATTATTAGACCACGCGCCTAACGCTGCAGCATCGCCTAACTTAACAAAATTGAGGCGGTCCAATATAGTACCTCACTGTCAAATAATTTTATTTATTATTTATGAGTGATATTAATTTAATGTAATGAATGCTACATCCAAATATACCACTCTCTGAGTGACCAGCAGTACATTGACTTTAATTTTATGTGATCATGTGTGTTAGAAACATATGGGCAAAGAACTCTATAGTGGTGAATAAATCCTTAACATAGATAGTTCTGTAGGTTTTCGACATTGATGCCAACGTCGATAGCTCTACTGGACACATATTAACTAAGGACACAAGTCTAAGCATCCTCACGAGGTCACCGTTTGGTACACCATGCAAAGCATCCATCGCAGCACCAAATAGCTTGGTGCATACATTTCTCGGCATGTATATCATCTTCCAAATCTACCCTAAAACGCCTTCATTCCTGATCACTGACTCTACCGTCTTTAGGACCTTTGATTATAACGCTGATACAAAATCTTTCAACCAATCTGAAGCAATGAAAAATTACTTGAATTCTAATGAATGTCATTCTCAATATTTAATAAATTTAGTAAGACTGTAATTTATGGATGATCTTTGAGCTACGCTAAAGTGACCTTCACAGTGTCTGCCCACTTACTAGGGTTAGATGAATGCTATAAACTGGTAAAAGCAATTAGAAATAAGACTTAATGTTAGACGTTAGAGTTAGGAATTACAGTTAAAACTTTCATCACGAAATGACATCAGCTATAATGCCGAAATGCGATTTAACTGTATGGGTGAATAAATTTTCTGTCCAAGTCCACGACGCGCTATCCTTAGTCCACCTGAGTCATCCATAAATTATATCACGCCGTCATCATTTTTGATTGGCTCGGCGATGGAATAAGTTGTCTTACGAGATTATACAGGCTACATTACATGAATGGATGATAAGTATTTCCAACTTGTTGATAATGGATCTATAATATCGATTCACAATTCCGTCAGCTTTTATCATGTCGAATGAATATGCCGTTGACATACAAACGAATAAGTACACGGGCCTTTTTGATGAGAAAATGGTCGTAAAAGTGATAATCATTATTTTTGATGGCGGGTGTGTCACCTAAATAAAAAAAATTTCTTGAGTGAATGAGATAGATTTGTTTAAGATAGAGTCAGCACCCAAGTCATCATAAGAAGATATTTTTGCCTGCTTGTATTCTACATAACCGTTGGCGACCTTCAAGTGAATTTACTCTGCTTCTCACATACTCAAATCACTCAAACAACAGGTCAGATTAACCAGTTCAGTGGTAAGGAAGCAATAAAAAAACTAGGATGTTGGCAATCAAGCTTGAATGTTATTTCGGACGACACTGAAAGATGCAGTAAATACGTTACGAATACAGTGATAAAGTGATTAAAATGGAAGAAAATAGTGAGTAAAATAAATAACTGCGATATCTTCTGGGACCAAAACAGACATGGAACACATGAAACAAAATTATCGTTGATAACACTTGGAGGGATTTTCACATACATTCACATAAACATACAGAATCAACCATATAAAAATTTTCAAAGACAATCCAGGAAAGCTTCGCTAGTTCTCTAGATGATACATTATGTTTACAGTACTTTATAACATGCAATATTTTATTCTCATTTAGACCAATCACAAAGACATCACATCCAAGCTCTTTCTTGAAATAAGGTATATACAATCGTTGTCAAGGAAAATAGTATATTGGACCATTTCTCGTGTTTGATAGTGCTTACATTCCGTTTCCTGAAGCCGACAGCACCATATTGTTACCTCGTTCGTGATTGTATAGTGTGGGGTCTGCAGTTTGCAGTCGGAATCCAGAGTTAGCTAGAGTATCCAATGAAGTACAACGCATTTCGTTCCTATTATTGTTGTTTAGACTGTCGCAATCGACATCATGTCAGTGTTGTTGTACCAGTGATTAAACTTGTTTTAATTGTTCAGCAAGAAATCCCTGTGTCATTGTTCGTTCACCAGTTCTGGTTTGACAACTATGATAGTTTGTTACGCTGCAATTCACTCACTATAGGTATGTCGGCATTACTACCGCGACAATTGTTTCATACGACCACATATTACTATGGAAAGTGTGCCGTTTTTGGGGCGAATCATTCTAGATTACAAAATAATCCCAAACTTATAAGTTGTTCCCATTATCATTGTTATATAACTATGAATGTCATGCATCAAGTCAACGGATACTACTGCACCATGATTCGTAACATGATCAAGTAACTCACACATTGTTTAAATCAACATTTTTAATTGACGACATCTCTGAATCGACAAACGTAGTCGTATTCTGAACCATCAGAAGTACTCAGCATGTAAAAAACGCTACCTAATTTTAGATGGCTAGTGCCTAATCAAAATTATAAGTAGCTATTCATAACGGTTTCTCAACATTGCCATAAAGCACGGTTACGACTTAAACATTAGGTAATGTGGTTGATATAAGCGATGGAGCTAACAACATAGTCGACAAACTGACTGATAATAATTACCACATAAATCGTTGTTGTCCTCATTTATATTTATCTGAACTGATGGTTTCGGGTTATTCACTTATCAGTTGATTCCTTAGTAATTATCATAAACCTCATCATTTTGATTAGAAGTTCAACGACAGCCATCTGTATAAATCACAGATGCAAGCAATCGAGTAAATCTCCCATAAGTTAAAGGCATCATTGTCATAATTATACAAACACTGGCAAAAATTTCATAACATTAAGATAGAAAGATATTGAACGTTATACTTTTCTAGCTCTAACCTATGCTCTCCCTGGAAGCACTCACTTTATCAACTTATGAGCATCTAGCTAACTGAGAATATCATACAATCCATCACTTTTAATGACAGTATCTAAAGAGTTTTGACTTCAAAACCCGATTTCAGTTTGATTCATTTATAGCTTTTGTTTAACTTAAAGATGTCACTGGTGTTCGGAGTTTGACGTCTTTACATATTGCATCTTTATAATATATACGGCAGCCTACTTGAATATCTGGGCTACCTGTTTCTGCCATCTAATTATTTCAACAAGTTATGTTTTTTTCATTAGTTTTAACGTATCATTATGTCCATTAATTGCATAACCTATTCAGGCGCTTTTATGAAAAGCCTACGACCTTTCGCTCCACAAGTTACAAAAAAGTACTATAAAATACATCGTGGTGGTTGGGAATATGAGTTAAAGAGAATGGACATTATTCGTATGTCCATTCCCGAGCTACTAACTTCTAACTCCCGATCATTAATCAACAAAGTGGACTATCTGCAAATATGTATCGTAATTGTGGTGTCGTCACAATTCAAGAATCTTGGTTAAATGATTTACAGGACGAATGCCTAGTATTATTACGTGGTTTCAAAATTTATCGTCAGGATCGATCAAACAATAGAAAGAGGCGTGGCGGCGGTGTAGCTACGTTTATAAACGTAAACTGGTGTCGATCTTCGTTTGTGTGTTTAAGGTTTTCAAATGACTTTATCGACTGTCTAACTCTATGATGTCGTCCAAAACATCTGAATAAATACAAATATGTTTATTTTACCAATATCTACGTGACTCCAGACTGCACATCATCTGCGCTATCTGTTTTCGCTGATGAATTCACTGAGTTCGCTGTTACTGACCTTAGTAATTCACTTTCAGCTGTATGTGGTGATTTCAATTCATGTGACTGTAGCTTCCTTATGTCACTAAGTCACCAAAATGTAGTAGATCTTCCTACCCATTTGGATGTTCATTTAGACTTCGTTTTCATTAATGATGTGGGTATATATGCAACTCATAAACATGCCCCATTATCTAGCTCGGATCACTGTATCATTCGTGTTCTACCTACAGTATATGGAAAGCATGGGAAGAGTACAATCTTACATCAAACCAAGAAAGTCAAATATAGGAGTTACTCAGAAGAAAATATCCGAAATCTGAAAAACATGTTTTATACGACTAACTGGGAATCATTGACAGATGACTCACTGTAAATCACTTCTGATATTATCATTTGTTACCTTACCACTGAAACCATTTTTGTAAGTATTGATCGACTTACATCTTCACAACTAAACCGAATACGGAGGGTGAAAGAAAGAATGTACAAAGAGAAAAACTCAAATAAAGTTCGTAAGCTGAATGGTCTGATAAACCTAGAGATTAGACGTCTCAACTCTATGTTTACTCAAAAACTCTTGTCTTGCAAAAACTCTCCAAGTATCTGGAAACCCTTTAAAGGACTTACAGGTGACAGACAGATTAGGAGCGATAACCGACTGTGTTTATGACTTAAATAAGTCTTTTGTATGTCAGTCATCTCATGTAATACTCCCTTTATCCACAGATTTAAAGAAGAGCTGTGTTCCTAGTTTCTCTGAAACTGATGTCCGAAGATGTCTCCAGTCAATTAATTCATCCCGATGTTTAGGACCTGATGGTATCCCAAACCTCATTTTTAAAAAATGTGCTGACGTCCTATGTTATCCATTCACGAGTATCTTTAACAGATCCTTCTCATCTAATCTCATACCGAAAATGTGGAGAAAGATAAAGATAATCCCTGTACCCAAGAAAGTATCTGGGTGATAATGTGAAATTTAGACCTATTGCAATAACTTCACCCTTCCTCAAAACAATGGAAAAACTATTAATACTTCCACTTCAGCCTGCGATAAAAGAGCATATTGATCCGTATCAGTTTGCTTACAGATGCTAAAGAAGCACCTTAGATGCCGTTGCTGTTCTGCATCACAGTATAGTGTTCAACTTAGAAAAGAGTAAGAATTATGTTCGATGCGCTTTTTTGGACTATACTTCAGCATTTGATTCTATACCAAGACAACGTCTAATTAACAAGTTAATCGGCGTCAACACTAACAGCTGGATAACCAACTGACTATGTTCCTACCTCTCTGGAAGGGAACAGTACACTGTGTTTGGAGGAAAGAGTTCAGAGTCTCTACTGTCTCATGAAGGTGTACCACAA